TTTCCCTACTCTGTGAAACACGTGTCCCAAATTTGCAGCAAAATGGACTGATTCTCTTTTCTCTCCTGCTCTTCCTCTCCCGGCAGTGAGAGCACCGAGTCCTAACCACTGGGACACCAGGGAGTTCCCATTATGCCTTGATTTTTAGAATATGTCCTGTCCCAAGTTGATGGGGATGAGAACACTCGTTGAGCTTTGGGTCAGGGTCAAGAATGTGCCAAATCTAGAGACAAGGGGCAGTCAACAGAGCCCACAGATGCATTCCATCCTGTGGTGTAAGGCCTAAAATCAAGGTCTAATATTACGTGCTGCCTTAACATCTGGTGAAATCAGGAAGGCCTAGTTTGGCTTAACTGCAAGTTTTTCTTCTTGGTCTGATCGAAAATGTCACCTAGTTAAACAACCTTCCTCATCAGATGGACCAGATGCAGTTTCTGCTGATCCCTGCATAGTGGATTTGCGTTCCCCACCAGGCCATGGAATTACCCAAAAAAGCCAACGACATTCTCCTGTGGGAACCACAGGACACCTCACCCTCCGGATACTACAAAGCAAGCTTGCCTCCCACTGCCTCTGGTTGTTCACTCTGTTCCTAAATGCTTCCCCCATGTGACCCTGCAGGGCGTGTGGTGTCCTTCTTCCCTGTGCTGTGAGTATACGTGACCAATGAACTGCTGCCAATTTCAGCTGTCCAGTGCTGGGTGTCATAAGTTCAGCCATCCCCATACCCCTAGGGTGGGAATCCCTCCCTTACCAATGCGGTGAAGAGGAGGTGATTAAGATACTCTTAGGGGCTTCCCTGGTGGCGCAGTGGTTGAGAGTCCGCCTGCCGATGCAGGGGACACGGGTTCGTGCCCCGGTCCGGGAAGATCCCACATGCCGCGGAGCGGCTGGGCCCGTGAGCCATGGCCGCTGAGCCTGCGCGTCTGGAGCCTGTGCTCCGCAACGGGAGAGGCCGCAACAGTGAGAGGCCCGCGTACCGCCAAAAACAAAAAACAAAAAACAACAACAACAACAAAAAGATACCCTTAAAGCCAGTTGCCCTAAAAAATTAGAGGCTTGGCTTCTGCGCCGTCACTGTCTGCACAAAGCCCTGTTTCTTAGAGCCCATGGGGAACTGGAACCACTACCCCCATTTATTCAAAGTAACCATTTGAGTGCACTGGGTGTGGTTACACTTTCTGCTACTTGTATATTTCTCAACCCATACTCTAATCCAGTGCAGTCATCATTCCAGGAATCCCTGAGGGTCCGCTGATTGAAATACTTCTGCTCTCTCTCTTTTTAAAAAAATATTTATTTATTTATGTGGCTGCATCGGGTCTTAGTTGCGGCACACAGGATCTTCGTTGTGGCACGTGGGATCTTTAGTTGCAGCATGTGGGATCTTTATTTGCGGCACGTGGGATCTAGTTCCCTGACCAGGGATCAAACCCGGGCCCACTGCATTGGGAGTGTGGTTTCTTAGCCGCTGGACCACCAGGGAAGTCCCCTTCTGCTCTCTTTTGAATAGATGTAGACAT